TTTCCTCAATTAAAAGCGATTGCATTTGGCATCACAAAAGCAAAGCAGCCCCCTAATCTCTCAGACTCTGTGGTTTGTCTTACATAAAATACATGCTGTACTTTTTTGGTGCCAAGGGAAAATATTTAAGTCCTTATTATGTGATAAAGAAGATGAAAACTTATTGGAAAAAGCCTTCGGAAGGAGTATTTTGGTTCGAGTGAAAGAATTCCTTCATTCTCTACTACAGTTTGTTTTGCGGATGCCAGGAGCACAGCTCAGGTGACCAGCACAATAAGGTGCTGGGCAGCTGAACTGAATATTTGGGTAGTTTTGGCAAAATCCTAAATTGGGAACAGCTGTGCACAAACGAGCAGGGTTCAGCTTGCTGACGCTGCCACATTGTGCTGCTGTTACAGTTTGTCCTCCCTGGTATCTGATCTCGGGTCAGGAGTATTACTTTTTACATGCATTTTTCAAGGACAAAGGGAGAAAGAATGCCATGCATGTTCCAGGCTGTGCATCTTTTGCAGCTGTCCTGACCATGTGCAAGACTGTGACTGGCCATAGGGGCATTGTTAGCGGTTAGCTGGGGGAGGGGGACCTGTTGTGGCCTGAATCTCCTACCCCTGCCCCAACACTTAAAAAAAAAACTTTTTAAAAATGGACTTACATTATAGCATTCCTCCTGAAAGTCGGCCTATACATCTATACATATAGATGCAAATTTAGAATATGTAAATTTAATGCAAGTTTTTGCCATGTGTCTGTTCCCCATAGTCTTTCAAGGATCCAGCAGCACCTCTAGCAACACCACTGGCCATTTATTTCAGGGTGGCTGGGGGTTCCTCCTTTCTACAACCTTGGCAACGGTAACCGTCAAAATACTCCTAGCTAAGCTCAGTCCTGCAACCTCAGTGTGTTTTGCTTCACACTGCTGTTTGTGCATGTGAAGTGGACCAAAAGAAACTCACTCCACAAAATGTGTTGCCTTCCAGGGCCCAATGAACTCCCGTGAACCTTGTGGTAAGCCCTATGGCCTGCTGTTTCCTTGGGCACTAGCTGTACCGTAACAGTAGCTCTCCTTATTAGAGTGCATCATGTGATAAGAGTTCAGGACCTATTATTAGTTGTGTCTTTTTACAGCCTAAAATATAAACTTTAAATCGTGCGACAGCCCATTTCTCTGTGCAATTAAGGTAAGGAGGAACAGGACAAGGAAGGGGCTGGGAGCTCGTCATTGCCTTAGGTATGCGAATGGCTCTTGTCGCTAAAGGTTTTGCTCAAGATATCTGTGAATTTTATATATTTGCGGCCATGGAGAAGTCCATTCTATGCTCATAAGTGGAGCCATTTTGACCTAATGTACCTTGGGCAGATGTTTGTCAAAGCCTTATTACTTTATCTTGCTTTAATCTCAAGGATGATTTCTATCTTGCCCATCAAACAATTTCAGGACAGCTTACAACACACAAATAGAAAACACAGTTAAGACCATTTAAAAACACTTATACACACACCATACAATAAGATCTATAGACAGCAAATCAATTTAGAAAAAAACAGTGTAAAACCACCTGCAGAAGTAGAACACATCATCTTAAGATTAAAGCCTGGAAAAAATGAAACGCTGTGCTAAAATTACACCAGGGCAGGAACTTAATAGCATAAGAAGAGCCTACTGGATCAGACCAGTGGCCCACCTAGTGCAGCACCCTATTCCCACAGTAGCCAATTAGATGTGGGTCTGTGAGAAGTTGACAAGCAGGAACCGTGCAGGAGCAATCTTCCCACCTGCGATTCCCAGCAATTGGTGTTCAGAAGCATTGCTGCCTCCTACCATGGAAGGAGAGCAAAGCAATCACTGATAGCATCACTTGCCAATAATCCTCTTTTAAAACCATCCTAGTTCTTGGCCATCGCTACCTCTTGTGGGAGTGAGTTCCACAGTTTAACTACGTGGTGCCTGAACAAGAACCTTCCTTTATCTGTCTCAAATCTTTCAGTGTTCAGCTTCGTGGGATGTCCACAAGTTCTAGTGCTGAAAGGAGAATAAACTTTTTCTCTATCCACTATCCTCTATCTCAGTGCCATGCATTTTTTTAATATAAACTTCTCTCATACCATCTTTTCTCGAAACTAAAAAGTTCCAAATGCTGCAACCCTTCCCCACAGCAGAATTGCTCCATCTCCTTGATCATTTGGGTTGTTTGTTTGTCCAACTTTTTACAATGGTTAGTAAGTTTTATAGTGGTGTGTTATAGACGTGTTTTCATTTGCTGCCTTGGGTGGACATAGTCTGAGAAGGCAACATAAATATTTAAAAATGAATACCTTTGGGTCTGTTCTAGGGTGCACTCAGCTCACACCGAGCAACAGTGAGCCCCAGCAGGCCTGGTCAGAGTCCTGCCTGAACAGAGTATGTGCCTCAGAATATTTCTTCATATACTTTGCATCAATGATCAACAGTTTGTAGCAGATGTGCAAGAGCGCCTTGGCATGGTGTGGAAGGTACTCTGAATTGAGACAGTTTGCAAATTCCTGCTTTGAGCCTAACTCAGCCTCATCACTTTACCACCATCACCACCACCCATTCCTCAGTACAGTGGTACCTCGGGATGCGAATGGGATCCGTTCCGGAGCCCCGTTCGCATCCAGAAGCAATTGTAACGAGCGACGGCACGTCTGCGCATGCGCACGTCTCTTTTCGCCGCTTCTGCGCATGCGCGTGACATCATTTTGAGCGTCTACGCATGCGCAAGTGACGAAACCTTGAACGCGCAACTTGAACGCGCTCAACATGAAGCATATTCAACCCGAGGTATGACTGTACAATGTAAAGGTAAAGGACCCCTGACAGTTAAGTCCAGAATGTAGAGGCCATGTGAAGTGCTCCTTGGGCAGATCCTATTGGAGCAGATCCTTGTTTAGGGCACCAGATCACTTTACTAGCTCACCTGTGGAGCTGTGTGAATTCTTCTAGAGCTTCAGCAGACAACACAGTCCAGAAGCTTGAAGGTGGGGGACAATGAAGAAATGGAGATCAAACCTGAAATGCAAGTGGCAAACTTTTTTAAACACCTGGCCATTCTAATAGGTTGCGAGAATTTTTCAGTTTTTTCTTTTTCTCAATAATATTTTTTTAAAAAAACACCTTTACCTGCTTTTATATACAGAAGAGAGCAGCGTGGCCCAGTTTTAAACATGAGTCAGCTCAGCTATAATGTTAAATTGGGGAGGTGGGGAAAACCTGAATTCAAATCTGCAATGCAACCTTACACTTGCTAGACAGGACTTTGGGGGCAGGTGTCCAGAGACCTCCTCAGCAGAAGGGGCAGGAGGACCCCCCCCCCCGCAACACAACAGAACTTGCTTACAACACTCCACAGCAAGGGAAGTACACATTCCCATTTAAACAACTCCCACCTCCTCGCCCACAACTGTTTCAAAGTGTCAATAGATAAAAATGGTCCAAGTTAACCCACCACTGTTCAGGGAACTATTCTGGCTGTTAATGACAACTAGGCATTTAACTTCCATTTAATGTTAGCCCATTTACAGTGGTACCTCAGGTTAAGAACTTAATTCGTTCTGGAGGTCTGTTCTGAACCTGAAACTGTTCTTAACCTGAGGTACCACTTTAGCTAATGGGGCCTCCTGTTGCTGCCGCCGCCACGCCGCTGCTGCGCGATTTCTGTTGTTAACAATGGGTAGTAAGTGGAAGGAGGGAGCAGGCAGTATCAGTGCTGTACACGTTATTGCAATGTTTTTAAAGGTAGAATAAGTCAAATGATGGGGGGGGGATCAATGAAGCCCTTAATGAAAAGGACTACAGAAATAATAATTGTGGCTTTGGCTAGCTAAGCCTAAACCAAACCAGAACAATCGTAAGAATGGTGGTGAATTATGACAAATTTAGCCAAAGGAATAATAAAAGTTGGTATTCTGCTTTAGATTTGGTTTTCTTTTTTCAGTCTTTGTAAGACTTCTGCCCACGTGAAGGTTTCTTTGCTGCCGCTTTACAACTAACTAAAACTAAACTAGTGAACTAAGAAAACCCAACTTAACATTTGTTTAAAATCCTTTTCTTATTATAATCCATATCACAATACTCCAGTACAGTGGTACCTCAGGTTACATATGCTTCAGGTTACAGACTCCGCTAATCCAGAAATAGTACCTTGGGTTAAGAACTTTGCTTCAGGATGAGAACAGAAATCGTGCTCCGGCAGCGCGGCGGGAGCAGGAGGCCCCATTAGCTAAAGTGGTGCTTCAGGTTAAGAACAGTTTCAGGTTAAGTACAGACTTCCGGAACGAATTAAGTACTTAATCTGAGGTACCACTGTATTGGGAAATGCCTAATAAATAGGCATAACTATGACTGAAATCTTGTGCACACGTTTTTGAGAGCAAGCCTCACTGAATACTGTGGATGCATTAAATATCCAAGTGGGAAAGTAAGAGACTGGAAAACACTACTGATGAATAGCCACATCCTTCCTTTCTCTTGTAAAAGGGATCTATTTCCACCTTTGCCTTTACTGGTCCTGGTACATTGTTCTAAGAGTACTTTGTTGCCCTGGATTGTGTCTTTGGCTACTGTGGCTGTGATACCTCCAAAAACTTGTTGATCTCCTAGGAATGAGTGTATTTGTTAATTTCAGTTTTTCTCAGTTTCTTTGTGTGTGTTTTTTTTCAATCTTATATTTAGTTTGCCACTTTTCCACACCAGTTTGATTTTCTTTTTTAAAGTCCTCATTAATATACTCTTTTTTTGCCAGCAATGTTCTCTAACACAATGCATTTTAAACGTTAGTTTCACTAATATAGGGATTTTTGTGCATACTTTCCTCTAAAATCCACCTAAATCCCCTAAAATCCACTAGTTTTAGTTCAAAGAAGTGTGAATTTCAAAAGATAGCTGTGTTTTGACTGACATATGTCTTCAACAAGTGTGAAGTGGGTAGGGTTGCATTAAAATATGAACAGAACTAGATTTCTCCTCTATCCCTACCACTTCAGGTTCCCATTGACCATGAAGCCCACTATCTCCATTATTGCTTTGCCTTGCGGATTTTAGGCCTCAGAAATGAGACCTTTCTAGCCTCTGGAGTCCTATGCTGTCCTTGTTGTCCACCCGTACAAAGACCTTTACCCATTTTGCTTAAGAGTTTACGAGACTTTCCAAAAAATGCACTTGCGTATACAATCCTGAAGACTGCAAAGCACGTGGAATCAGACTCACAGCAAGACTGTCTCCTTCCGGCCCAGTTGCAAGGCCTCTGTAGTCTTCCTTTGGCAGGAAGCCATGCAGACATGACGGAGACCTTGGATAAATGTGGAGGGAAGCGTTAGAGGCTGTAAATGCCAGGGTGTGTATGTATTTCTGCTTGTGTGTGGAGGGGTACCATTTGTTGATAGCAAAGGGCAAAGAAAGTAACAAACAAAAGGATTCTCTCCCATGGAGCTTCAGGAATTTATATTGGCTCATAACCCTTTGAGAACAAGCGCCCCGAGCAAGCTGGCACCACATGAGAAACTAAACTGATAGCACAGTGCCCTTTTGCATTTTAGAGCGGGATCACTATGTACTAAGGGAACCGTGCCACTGATTACCAATTAATCATGCTCTAAAAGCTTCACAAGTGAAGAATCCCACAGGCACTTCTTTCTTAAAGAGGCAAAGGCACTGAGGAGCACAGATGGGGCAGGGAGGGAGAAAGAAGCACAGAGGGAACCACCAAATCGAGGACATGCAAAATTTGCTTGGCATTTGGAATCTCATTATTATGCTCATTGTTTTTGAAGAGTTTTTCTTTTAAAAAAAAATAATAACAACTCATAGGAATGCAAGAGGCAATGGCTGCGGCAAACAATAATGTGAGCAGGCATTATCCACAGCGGGGCCTTCTGTACATGTGTAGCCCCTCGTCATTTTGATTTATAGCTGCTCTTGCTGCTTTCTTATAGCTGATGAGGTTCTACCATTCCACCACCCGTGTTTCAGTTCTGGATTGATTTCAGACTGATAAAACTGTGATGCCCCTTTTCTCACATGCTTAAGGATACTGTTTTTCCACGATGCGCCTTGCCCCTGCCAGTGCCCCTGTCAGTCTTGCCAAGTGGCACCACTGGTTACTGCAGCCTAGCTCTTGGTGTTATTGGAGGCAGTAGCCTATGCTTCTGCATGCATGCAGTTCTGTATGGCTTTTCTGGATGATGTGGGGTGGGGAGAACACAACAACACTGCTTTGACCCAAATGTTTTTCGTTATGTGGTGTAAAAGGGAAGTAACCTTTCTCACTTGCAGATAGGCTCACATTTCTCTGAAGGGGTAAATGTGTACAGTGGTACCTCTACTTACATTCACCTCTGGTTATGTATCCTTTGGGATACGTGCGCGGCAAACCCAGAAGTATTTTTCTGGGTTTCGCCGCACGCGCAGAAGCGTTAAACCGTGCCACACACATACGCAGAAGTGGCACCTCCGGATACACACAGCTCAGGATCTGACTGGAGCTCCGGGACAGATCCCGTGTGCAACCGGAGGTACCACTGTACTCTTGAGTTGGTGAGAGGGGAGCACTCATCTTCCAAAGAACATAGGAAGCTTCTTAATACTGAGTCAGATCTTTGGTTTATTGGAATCAGATTTATCTTCCCACTGACTGGTATGGGTAGGGGATGAATTTAATTATGTTCACATTTAAAGAAGAATCTGCCTAATTCACACTTCCTGAAAAGCAGCCTTTCTTCGAAATTTGCAGTTTTCTGAATTTTGCAATGTAGTTCCCAGCTATGTAATATGTACAAAGATGCATATACTGGGGTAAAGTGTTGATAAAAATACAAATATTAATCAAAATAATATACAGAAATTCAGCATTTTTATGGGGAATTGTTTTGCAAAAATGTACATGTTGGGCAAAATCGCATTAAAATGGATATATTTAGCAAAATTTGCATCAAAATGGTGATTAATTTTCATGCTTAAAAAAAATTTGCACACTGATGTGGAAACATGGAGCATTGAACTTCAGACTGTAAAAAAGCCCCAGAAAGAAATGGAGAAAGAGAAATTGAAATTGACAGATTTGCCTAACTCTGCTGAGGGGCAGCGGCTCTCCAGGATTTCAGACAAGATCCTTGTCAAGCCCTACCTGGGGATTTTTGGGGTGGGATGTGGAACTTTCTGCATGCAGTGCATGGACTCTACAGAAGAGCTATTGCCAAGGATGTGGGAAAGGAGAAAAGGCTCATTTACAAGATATTAATTCAGATCAGAGTAGGAAAGGGTGATAAACAAAAGTTAGGGGTGTGCCATGGAGGAAATAAAACATAAAATACAGCCTGATCCATTTGCTGCATGTTAACTTAGAGGAAGTTTGCCAGGCCTTGCTCCCAGGTAAGGGTTGAAGTTTCAGAAATGCATCTCTGTGATGTGGTGAGCTGTTGGCATGGGGAAGCTATTTTCACACGTGGGCAATTTCAAATGAGTGCCTCCCAATGTGAAGGAAGATGTGAGGCATGCCCTACATGGATCGGTTCTCGTGCTTTAGGAGAAAGATGGACAGTTGTACTAACTTTGCAGGTCATCCATGAGAGACTGCGACTGGCTCAAGGTCGAGGAGTGTTACATCTGAAGAAGTGGAAATTTTCATCTTGGTTTATAGAGGCTCCATAGCCCAAGGGCTTGAGAATACTCACTCTAAAAATAAGTGGGCTGACTGAGTCTGATTGAGATTAGGACTCTCCAAAGCCAGAAGAATCAAGTTTTTATTCAAGCGGTATTTTATTTCTATTTGCCTCAGGAGCCAGGGATCAGATTATTTGCCCATTTGCTTGTACAGTTTGGTTCCATGACACAGTAGTCAAAATGTCATGAATTGCCCACTTTCCTCCTTCTTGGGCTGGCAGCCTTTGTGCCTCTACAAAAGTGGCATTAATGAAAGCCAGTAAGGAAAAGGAATGGCCTGTGTGATATGCTACAGAAGACTGGCAAAGAGCCAGAGTACAAAAGGGAAGAGCTTTTGCTCCTGACTTAGAGCATCCAATTTTCTCATAAATAGTGTGTGGTTCTTGGATGGGCGGAAGGCACCTCATGGTGGTTGAGCTGACTTGCCATTCCACCACCCAAAATATACAGAAAAAGCTCCTTTGGTGATGCTCAGTTTGCCAAGCAAATCTGCCACTTCTAATTGTCCGTCTTTAATTCCTTTTCCTGTTGCCCAGCTCAACAAACAAGTCTCCTGATAACTGCAAGTCCCATTATTCAGAAGTCTTTGGGTATCCACAGTCCTGACAAATGGCCAGGGCCTGTTGTTTTGAGGGTTAGGCTCATAAGCCGCAGAAAAAAGCAGCATAATGGTTGGCACAATGGGTCAGCGCAGTGGTTGCTTGTGTAACCCAGCCTTCAGACAGGGTCCGGCTGCCCAGAAAGTTCACAGTCAGGGCATGATAATGGCAAAAGTTAGATGCTTGGGCATGGAAGGATCCATGAGTTTAACTATTCTCCAAGCATTTTTCTCAAAAAGAAATTTAAGTTGCTGTCTTACAGCAACTGTAATTTACGCCTTACATTTTTATCTCATCTTTCTCTAAAGAATTCAGCCAGAGCAACATACATGGTTCTCTCAGCCCACACCCCTTTTATCCTCACAACAAACCCCATGAAGTAGGCTAGGGTGAGAAGCAGTGACTAGCCCAAGGTAGCACTGTGTGCTTAATGGTGGAATAGGATTTGAACCCAGCTATCAATATTCTGACATTCTAACCATTACGCCCCACTGGTTCTCATGCATTGTTCAAAGGAGTATTTCTGTTTTATCAAAAGCCCTCCTGCCTATGGACTGGACAACCCCATCATATTTTCAGATTCCTTCTAATTATATACTCTTGGAGCCCATATTTCAAACCTCTACAATATTCCCGCTTAGTTGTCTTGTTTCTGCTCTAAAAAGTCCCAACCATTTCCACCTTCCTTTGTACCAAAGATGATCCATTCCCTTAGATTGTTTTGATTACGCTCCCTAAGGCAGACCATTTAGGGCCATTGCAAAAGGAGAGAAAATGACCGGTCATTTGGGTGGCAATTCTTTGTGTCCATTTACTTGGGAGTAAGCCCTGGTGAATTCCGTGGGGATCAGTAGAGATCCCTAGGATTGCCCTGTTGTTTTGTCACTTTGCATTTTCTCCCCACAAGAGTGGTGTGGCGTGGCAACATTTGCATTCTTTGCCTCAGACTCCAGGATGCCTTAGGCCATCTCTTCCTGCTTCTGGAGACTGGACTTTCTGCCAAAACATTAACCCTCTGATACTGGAAACATCTGTGTGCTTTCATTTGGCAGAGGAGACCAGCATGGTATTTTTAACTTTCTCAGTGGACCTTCACAGATGCTCAGTTCTTCCTCAGGAACATAAGTATAATTGGGATGCGTCAGCTACTCAGACAGCTTTCCCAGGAACACATGCAGTGCACCCACACAGACCCTGCATTCAAGGAAAAATACGCCCTGTACCTCTACATATATGAATGGTGCTCTTCAGGAACTGTCTGGGCATTCCTCCTGCCAGCACGGCTGTTCCGTCAATCGCACCACTGAGCTTTACCAGCACCACATGACAAATAAAGCAAACAGGCAGAAACAGATCAACTTCACTGGATAATGCAAAATAGTTGTGGGAGAGAGAAGAGTTGGGTTATTTTACGGATCAGCAATGCACTTTATAATATTATTTTTATCATTATCATACTGCTTAATTGCCTATGTGACTTTTAAGTGGCTTACAAGAATAAAACACATTACAAAAAAATATAAACGCACATAATTTAAAATATGCAATAAAACCAGTTCACCCAAACGTTAAATTAGACACCCACAATTAAAATGTAAAATAAAACTAGCCCATTAAAAAAAGGTAAAAAGGTAAAGGTACCCCTGCCCGTTCGGGCCAGTCTTGCCAGACTCTAGGGTTGTGCGCTCATCTCACTCTATAGGCCGGGAGCCAGCGCTGTCCGCAGACACTTCCGGGTCATGTGGCCAGCGTGACAAGCTGCATCTGGCGAGCCAGCGCAGCACATGGAACGCCGTTTACCTTCCCGCTGGTAAGCGGTCCCTATTTATCTACTTGCACCCGGAGGTGCTTTCGAACTGCTAGGTTGGCAGGCGCTGGGACCGAACAACGGGAGCGCACCCCGCCGCGGGAATTTGAACCGCCAACCATGCGATCGGCAAGTCCTAGGCACTGAGGTTTTACCCACAGCGCCACCCGCGTCCCCTAGCCCATTAAAACAATGCCACAATTAAAACAGCAACAGGAGATTCAAGTCAGGAGACTGGGGAAGGCCATCTGAGCTAAGTGGACCAATGATTTGACTTGGTGTAAGGCAGCTTCCTATGACTAGTGGGACGGAAGGGAACCTTAAACGTCTCCACACCCTTGGCTCCCAGGAGAATGGGCAATGCTCAGGGATGATCTATTGTAACCAGTTTGTAAAGAGTCCAAGTAGTCAACATACTTGGAGGAATTCAATGTTTTTTGCAACATCTTGTGCCAGCTTTACCTATATATTATTTACTTGTGCACCCAGGAGAGCATCCTTGGGCACATCACCATCTTTCAGACTCTCTATATAATGGGAATAATATTTACTTGCTGATTAGTGTTGTTATAAAGCGTTCTCTCTCTCCCCCCTGCGCCCCCCACAATTTGCACTTTAAAAGTGTGCCACGTAATTGATTTGTGCTGCTGCTGACTTTTGAGAGGATTCCTTACTCGTCTTTTCCTTACCAGTGTATGTGGCATAAAACTCTCATGGGAACTGATGGCTCAAGAATTCCACCTGGAAAGAGACATCACAGAAAAAAACAACCAGGAGCATATGCTCTTCTACTGCAAGTTTTTCAAACCACTGAATTTACTGAGATATAGCAGTGGTGCAGCTGCGATGACAAGGTGTGAAGTGCCTATTTATTGTCCTTTCCATTCTTGTTAAAGAAGTGTAAACCTCTGTCAGGACTGAACTAACCAAGTAGCACAGAGTGGGCATTCTTCTTCACTCTGGATGGCACTCAATATGTCAACGAGCACACTTAACAGCTCCACTAAGTTTTAAGTTTCCAGGGAAATGGATAGCCTTCTCTCAGAAATTATTCAGAGGCATTGGAAGTTTCAAATGATGCTCTGTTTCTGTGTGAGCAGTTTGCTCGAGGCCAGATGGCCAGTGTTTGAGCCAGAAGAATGTGGTTATTTCACATATTTATATGAGCATATAATTTGCATTAATTATACAAGAACCCACAGCACACGTGGTGAACGCGGGGTACACCTTTGATACCAGTTGCACACAGTCCGGCATGAGATTAGATGTTAATGTTCTTGGATATTTTAGAGGCCTTAACTGAATGATGGTTCAAGAAGGAAAATGTTGGCTAACAAATCAACAGAGTGCTGACTAGAAAAATGAGCAAGTATGAACGCATGCAAAAACAAGGAACCCTGACGAAAGAGATTCACTGTTTATTTGTCAATATTAGTTTGCAGCACAGGTCACTTGGGACGCAGGTGGCGCTGTGGGTAAAACCTCAGCGCCTAGGACTTGCCAATCACATGGTCGGCGGTTCGAATCCCCGCGGCGGGGTGAGCTCCTGTCGTTCGGTCCCAGCTCCTGCCCACCTAGCAGTTCGAAAGCACCCTTAAGTGCAAGTAGATAAATAGGTACCGCTTTATAGCGGGAAGGTAAACGGCGTTTCCGTGTGCTGCACTGGTGCCGGTTCGCTAGAGCAGCTTCGTCACGCTGGCCACGTGACCCGGAAGTGTCTCCGGACAGCGCTGGCCCCCGGCCTCTTAAGTGAGATGGGCGCACAACCCTAGAGTCGGACATGACTGGCCCGTACGGGCAGGGGTACCTTTACCTTTTACCTTACAGGTCAATTACATCCCACTGTGGTTTATAACTCTCAAAAGGAACAGCAAACGATGCATTAAATGAATGTTGTAGCCTCAGACAACCTTGCTTTAAGGAACTGCCCTCCAGTTTCTGCACAAGTGCTCTCTGTGTAATGTTTTATTTCCTGGTAACAAGTCATGGCACATCTGGATTAATGATAAGGCGTTCTCACTAACAGATAGCAATGAATTGATCTGTCCAAAAAATATTCTTTTGAGCAAGCGGTTTATAAATTTTCGAAATGAAGTACATAAATGAAAGACTGCCACCAGCCATACAATCTGAGGAGGCACAGGAGCCCTGCTAGAATTCCACAGAGAGAGAGTTGGCTTCCCACCTGTCCCTGCTACTGCTGCTGCACATTTTGCTTGTGATTTCCATAGCACTGGAGGTGAGAAGAGCCTTTGCCTCTGTGCAGGTCGAATGGCTTTGTGGGGAGACAAGAGAAACACAGGAGTGGTGGTGGCAATAATATGCCATGGAGAGCCACTGCAACAGACAGCTCCCATAATTTGTTGGGAGTCAGTGTATACTTGGGAAAGAGTGTCACACCACCATGGTGCTCCTCCTCCTATTCTTTAGGTCTCAGTCATTGGAAGTTCCCTCCTGGAGAAGCCTCCTCACTGTAATGGCTGTGTTTGGAGATCCACCTCCAATGGCAAGGCTTCATTCCTAGGCCAAATAGCTGCTTGTGGTGGAATTTTCTACTGAGAATAGTTTCCCCCCTCCCCCCAAAGGCTTTCCCTCAGATTCTGTTTGTTTAATATACATAAGTCTAAAGAAAAAGAAAAAGGTAGAAGAGAGGGAGGAACAACACACCAGCTCACATCAAAAATACAACAGCTATCAAGACACCCATTTTAATTTAAACATATACTGTATGCTGATAAAGGTCATCCACCTCTCCAGATAGGTATTCAGAAAAGACAGACATTTATAATAGATTTGTTCACATGCAGCAAGGTCAGTGAGACCTTCAGATTATTGCATAATAGATAGTGACTGTTTATCCTTCCAACTCGAAGTATAAGTGTTTTAGCAACCAACAGTGTTCACTAAATACCCTTTTGTTGTCCTGCCATTAATCCCCATACTACAAGAGTATAATTTAAAAGTGCATGGACATCAGCAAGTATCAAGGATTCCACTAGTACAAAACTGATACTGACAGGCCCATGCAGAGCTTGTCTGAGGCCCGGGACAGGAGTCTTGTTAGAATAAAGTTAGAAACTCAAACAAAAAAAGCAGCTGGTCCCTGGTGGGGGGCCCTGGTCAGCTTAGCCCTCCAAGGCCTGGGGCAAATGTACCCAGCTGTGCCTCCCTCTGCATGGGCCTGGATACTGACTATGAGACCAGAAAGAATATATCACCGGACATGCCTGAAGTGTAGGTGGGTTCCCATGAGGCAAGACACGGTGATAACAGCAAGAACCTTTATTGAAGTACATAACTGGGAAACAGGGGCAAAGCAACTGTTTATATACAATCCTGAAAGCCTGGGCCACTCCCAACGTGATTGGCTGTCTAAAGTTACAAGCTGCGAATCACGACTCAGAGTTCAAGGGCCAATGGCAGAGGCCCAAATCCTGAAATGTTCTGTGATTGGACATCATGTATCGAATCAGAACACAGGAGCTCAGAATCCTTAGTCCAAACTCAAGCTCAGGCAAACACATACCACTGAATACATAACAATGCTCACATCACTCCTCCTTACAACGGTCCAATCCTGAGTCCCACCCACCCCACCCACCACAGCTATTTAATTTGAGGATGGGGGAAGACTCACATGATGTCAAACCATACATGTAAAATAATGTGTAGTTTGGCCTTGTGAGACTTATTTTCACTCATTGAAAGTGCTTCCATTTTTGCTGAATCATGCTTACTTTTATCATGATCTGCCCCAAGTGCTTATGAATATTGATTTCTTGTATACTGTCATCACCTCCTTATTGTAGAAAGGGCTGCCATAAGGAAAGCTCCAAATGTATATAAAAAGAATGAAGGATTATATAAAAATAAACTTCAGAAATGCCAGATAGTTTTGTTCCCATCTGCTCACTGGAAATCTCAGCTCCCTTGCAAGTGAAATCTGCCAGATTCCAAATAAGCTAGGAAACTGATAAAAAATGGTAAAGCACTTTGGATACTGAAAATGCACTATTAAAATGGTTCATCATTGACAGGCTGCAAGTTTTAGAGAATGATCTGGTGGTGGTAGAGAAACCACCACTGACTAAACCTTGCTGCAGCCAGAATGGGAGGTATTGGTGATGGTGGGGTGATATTTTCCTTCCCTTTTCTCCCTTTGTTCTCTTTGTTCTACTTTTCCTCCCATTCTTGTCAGTTACTGACTGCACCAACTTTTGGACATTGTTTGGGGCATACCAGGAGAACGAGGGAGGCAGCAGGTGTTTGGCTGCCCCAACGTGCTCCATTTTGGCCCTCACCAATGGTGGGTTGACTGCCATTTGAATGGATGTCTATCCCCACAAAGTTTTCCACAGACACATGGTGGGGCGAAGTGGCATTTCTGCTCCTCAGCTGACTTTGGGCTGGCTTTAGGGTTGCTGTCTTGGCTGGTTTCCATCAGATAACGGTCAGGTAAGAAATATCATTGGCTTTATAACAGTTTTCTAGGGAACTCTTTAGAAGCTTATGAAAGTTTGCTCAATATTGAAAGACTAGCACTTCCGCCACAGGGGAATCCTGGCTGTAGACCTGTTCACAGTGGGCCATTGAGCATTGTGTCCTAGAGAATGCCCCAGAATCCCCAGAAGCAGATTCTGTGGTAGATCCCTAGACTTCCATAGAATTGTAGAGTTGGAAGAGACCCCAATGCGATACAGAAATCACAGCTAAAGAATCCCTGGAAGACAGCCACCCAACCTCTCTTTTAAAACCTCTAATGAAGAAGGTCCCCTGGC